CAGCAAAAGCTACCGCTTGGCTCTACCACTGTTAAAACGGTTAACGTATGGGCAGGTTTATTTAAGGATCGCATACTGGGACCAGTGTTTCTGCCACAGCGACTGAACGGACAGCGATACCTAAACTTTATAAATGAACAGTTGGTTGACATTTTAGACGACCTATCCTAGGCTGAATATCGCCGCACATGGTTCCAGCATGATGGTGCACCTCCACATGTCGTGAGGTTCGCCCGTGAGCGCCTCACCGAATTATTTAATGATCGATGGATTTGGCGGACTAGGACCACACGCTTGGCCACCTCGCTCACCAGATCTGACCCCGTTAGACTTCTTTCAGTGGGGTATGTGAAAGAAAGGGTTTTTAATCGTGAGTGTGATAGTGCTGACGAAACTACAAAAGGATCGTGGATGTTTTCGACAAACTACGTACGGACTGTGTCGAAGACCACACGATGATGCCCCGCCTGCATGAGGAGACGCAACACCGAGCCCAAATCTGTCTTGAAATGAATGGTCCACAATTTGATACGCATCTCATAAGACCACGGAGGATTTAGAGCGGTAAGCTGTTTCATAACTAATTTTTTTTAAATAACTTAGTACTGAACTAATCTGAATAGGTACATAACTGAATACATGAAAATAATAAACATACCTACACGATGAATAAAAACGCATGACTCTAACCTTGGTTACATTTCATTTAAGTATTTTTTCATTAGCGGGAAATCGAACCAGTTATTTGGGTTATTTAACCTGTAAATTCGGATTAAAGTGGCTACGTGCATGTTGTAGGCTGTCTTTCTACTCATTGCTGAGCTGGTCTGTCCTGAGTATCCTCACAGATACCACTTCCTTACCCTCTTGCCTAGTACAATGCTTGCAATCTTCAGGACACGGTCTTCTTGACAATGCATCTGCGTTGTCATGAGATTTTCCGCTGCGCTGGGCAATGCTGTTAGCCGCACTAACCTCTCGAGATCGATCACCTTCCCTTTCTTCAGTTCGCTTAGGGCAGCTGAATCGAAGATGGCCCATCTCCCCACAGCCGTAGCACCTAGGCCTGTATCCTTTACTGCGGTCACGAACTGTAGCTGCTGCTCTGACGCGATAGGAACGCTGATCCTGTCGCACGGCTTCCACCTCCAGTGCATGGGTCAAGGCGTCCTTAAGCGTCTCGTGATGCCCGAGCCTCACAGCAGCTCTGACTTCAAGGTCGCGGATGCCGTCGATGAATGTCTGCACCAGGTTCCCTACAATGAGCGCAGGTACCGACTGGTACGCTTTTCGAACCAGCTTCTCCACCTCAAGGGCCCACTGCTGCAGGATTTCGTTACTGCGTTGCACGCGATCTTTGAGCTGCGCACGAAAGACGTGTTCCAGGTGAGCGTCGCCATATCTCGCCTCCAATGCCTCAAGGAGCTGCTCGCATGTCACTTCCTTTTTTTTATAGGATAGGGTGACAAACGAGCACACAATCCACCTGATGGTAAGTGGTTACTGTGACCCATAGACATCTACATCTATCCTCGATTAATAATCTAAATGCAGATGCGCTGTCACCCCTGAGGATTAAGATGGAATACCCCGTTTTCAGTAAAAAGGGACTCCAGTTCTCTACACTAACCATACGAAATACAGCTGCTTTATTTTGGTGTTTTACGTTGGTGTTTTGTGAGAGCGTGGTCATTCCCCGGTCGAGCCGACCCATTCGTACTACAACCATATTACAGCTGCAGCTCTACCACATATAAACACATACCACCACACAGCATCATAATATGATATATTTAAATAAAATCCGTAAAAACTAGTTATATAGAAATGTGTAGTGTTCGCGTAACTATAAAAAATCATTACACGATATAGTTATGATGGTGTATGGTGATGGCGTAAGACAATCCACAACCCCATATCGTCCCGTGGGTGTCTTATGAGGTGACAGATGGAAACTGAAACAGGAGATGGGCAACAGCATCTTCCTGGTAACAACTTAAAATTGTAAAAAGCAATGAATACGGATATGAGACCGTGTAGTGGGGGTGTTAGAGTATTAACTACCCTAATCATCCCGTGGGTGTCACGTAAGAGGCGATAAAGAGAAACAAACTAGGAGATGAGTAGCAGCGTCTCCCTGATTATAATTGAAAGAAATAAAAAACCGCGGTTGGCAACCCACCTGCATGGCAACTATGAAGCAATCCATGTTCGGGGATTGCTTAGGGATTGTTAGGGGAACCATATGTTCAGCTAAGCTTAACGTCGAAACGAAAAAAGAAAACCATAAGCTATCATTAAAATTAAAAAAAAAACGGAAGATACTGTCTGTTTTCACTAACCTCCCATTTGGTATTTATTTTAAGAAATTTTTTTTTTAATTTTTTTTTCATTTTTAAATTAGCTTCTTCAGAATAAATGCAATTTCAATTACCGCATAAGACACGGAAAGGTTTTTCGATTCGTTCTATAATAACATAAGAAATTCATAAAAAATGGATTTTTATCTGGTACACTTTTATATTTATATAAAACACGTTAACATAATATTGTACATATTTTACCAAATAGATCACGAAAAAGGTATTCCACCAGTGCGCATTTTCATATGCCTTTGCAAATCACTTTTTCTATTACATCTATATTCTCAGATATGATATGAATAAGGTTTTTTTTTTCGGTATGTATTTTCATATGCTTTTGCAAATAACCTTTTCTAATACATCTATATTCACAGATATTACACGATAAAAAGTTTTCTCCTGTATGTATTTTTATATGTGTTTCCAAACTACTTTTTGTAATACATCTAAATTCACAGATATAACACAAATAAGGATTTTCTCCGGTATGTTTTTTCATATGTATTTGCAATCTACTTTTTTTTAATACACCTATATTCACAGATATGACAAGGAAAAGGTTTTTCTCCAGTATGTATTTTCATATGATTTTGCAATTTACTTTTTTCAATACACCTATATTCACAGATATGACAAAAAAAGATTTTTCTTCGGTATGTCTTTTCATATGCCTTTGCAAATCACTTCTTGTAATACATCTATATTCACAGATATGACAAGAAAAAGGTTTTTCTCCAGAATGTGTTTTCATATGCTTTTGCAATCTACTTTTTTCAATACACCTATATTCACAGATATGACAAGAAAAAGGTTTTTCTCCAGTATGTATTTTCATATGATTTTGGAATTTACTTTTTTCAATACACCTATATTCACAGATATGACAAGAAAAAGGTTTTTCTCCAGTATGTATTTTCATATGCTTTTGCAATCTACTTTTTTCAATACACCTATAGTCACAGATATGACAAGAAAAAGGTTTTTCTCCAGTATGTATTTTCATATGCCTTTGCAAGTCACTTTTTTAATACATCTATATACACAGATATGACATGAATAAGGTTTTTCTCCGGTATGTATTTTCATATGCCTTTGCAAATCACTTTTTGTAATACATCTATATACACAGATATCAAATGAATAAGGTTTTTCCCCGGTATGTATTTTCATATGCTTTTGCAAATCACTTTTTGTAATACATCTATATCCACAGATATAACAAGAATAATGTTTTTCTCCGGTGTGTTTTTTCACATGCTTGTGGAAATTTCTACTATTTCTACATATATAATCACAATTATTACAACAGTACACTTGTTTAGCGACGTGCGCTTTTAGATATGCGAAAATGCAACCTTTTTGAAATGTTTTCAATTCGCAAATATCACAGTTAAACAGATCTGTTAGTTGTGGTACTGGAATTTGTTCAACTTGTGTTCGAACTGCAGTGGTGACTGAGTTCTTTTGCGTCTTATGACAGTATGAAATGTGTTTGGCGAGAATGTCTTTTGTTGAAAACTTATTGTTACAAGCATCACATTCAAAAATGTATTTTGTTGATGCCCCAGATGTTTCTTTCGTAAGTATATTTAAACTCTTTTGTTTCATAATCTTTGCAGGATGCTTTCCTTTTTTAATAACTGGTTGTCTATCTTTTTTCAGATTAGACTTTGATTCATATTTGCTGAGTCGATTATCTCTTTTCACTTTAGAGTTTGATGTAGGGCCTTCAAAATCGAGGTTTTATTTACGTACTACGTTTATGTTACAATCAGTAGAATTTCATTTTATCTTTTTCTCAAATGGATTCGAAAAATTATTCTTCGTTGTGATGTATTGCTCTGAAATACACATAAATGAAACATTTATTGTAAAGCAACTTAAACGGTTTAAAATGTGAGGAGTTTATGACTTCTCAGGCATTGTCTATCAGTTAACTCAGGGAAAAATAGAGAAATTATAATATTTTACATAATTATACTAAATAGTGTTTCTGGATATAGTATTGTTACGAGCTTTGGGTTCGAGACAGTTAAAAACTGCCGAGTGAATTACCAAAATCGACACTTTAATTACAGAGCACTAATTACAACTTAAAACCACATTAATAATAAAACAGAATTGTACTACTGATCACTTTAGTTCGCAGTTATTTTGCTTCGAAGTATTCCCTTGTATCGCCAATTCAATACTGCCTCGGTCGTGATCTATACCGGCCTTATATAGGACCTCAGATAGTTTCCAAAACATTCAACTGTAGAAACATCTAGAATGTTCGAGTACATATCGGTCCTGAAATTTCTAGAAGGATCTTGACTCTCCTAGTTCTGCTACTCAACTGTACAAGCCATTAATAGTGGCGCGCAACACTACCCCCTCCCAAGACATGCTCGCCCCGAGCATTATTGGCCCCATAATAACGCACCAGTCGATCTACATGGACGATCTTAGGAGTACCTCTGGCACCTTTCTGTATCCGGTAGGTTACGTCATCGATCCTTGTCACAATCCGGTACGGTCCATCCCATTTAGCTTGAAGCTTAGGTGATTTCCCTTTGCTGCGAACTGGATTGTGTAACCACACTAGCGTACCTTCGTCAAACCCTTTGTTGTTCATTTTTCGGTCATACCGTGTTTTCATCTACTCAGACGTTTGCAGGCAGACTGTGTGACGTGCTCATAAATGTCATTCATTTTGTTCCACAAGTCATTTGCATAATCGGTTATAGTGCGTGGGGCATCAGGTGGTATACCGGTGATCAAGTCTGCAGGCAGCCGTAATTTTCTCCCAAAGTTTGCGAAAGCTGGCGTCAGTGATGTACTTTCGTGAACAGCGCTTCGATATGACAACAAAAACGGTTGTATGTGCCTGTCGCAGTCTTGTTGCCATTCTACTAATAATCGTTCTATTATTCCATCACATTGTGGGTGGTAAGAAGTTGTTCTTCTTTCATGAATACCCATAACTCGGCAAGTTTTCTGGAATATTTGAGACTCAAAATTCCTTCCTTGATCGCTGTGAATCTCTAAAGGTACTCCAAAACGACAGAAGACTTCATGAACTAGTTTATCTGCAACTGTTGAAGCTTCTTGATTTGGAATGGCAAAGACTTCTGACCACTTAGTGAAGTAATCCATCACAACCATGAACTACTTGTTACCACTTTCACTTTCCGGAAACGGCCCCGCAACGTCAAAGGCTATCCTCTCCCATGGTGTACCATTGTACAATTTCAATGCGCCTCTACTACGAGTTTGAAGTCCCTTTACAGCTGCACAACTTGTAAATTTGCGGCACCAGTCCTCGAAAGTAAAGTTAAGTAAAGAAAAGAAGCTAAAGTTCTAGTATATGTTTCATGGTAATAAAACGCTTCTTTCTTATGTGTCAATAAATATTTCTTTTATAAAAACGGATGTTTTATCCCTACAGAAAGAAAACTTAAACTTTATGAGCTGTTTAAACAATGCCCAGTGTCACCTGTAGGTGACACCCCTAGCATTCTATCTTAGTCCTCAAGGGTGACAACGCATCTGCATCTTGAGTCTTTATTGAGGATAGATGTAGATGTTTATGGGTCACACCTCACAGTAAAAACTTACCATCAGGTGGACAGTGTGCTCGTTTGTCACCCTATCCTATAAAAAAAAAAGCACGAATGGGTCGGCTCGACCGGGGAAGAACCACGCTCTCACAGAATACCAGCGTAAAATAGCAGCTTAACACTGCTTTGTTTCGTAATGTGAGTGTAGAGAACCGGAGACCCTTTTTAATGGAAAAGAGGCATTCCATCTTAGTCCTCACGGGTGACAACGCATCTGTATTTTGATTCGCAAACGAGGACAGATGTAAATGTCTATGGGCCACAGCAACCACTTACCATCAGGTGGACTGTGTGCTCATTTGTCACCCTATCCTATAAAAAAAAAAGATAGGACCAGCAGGAAAAAGTTCGAGATTGGATGCTGAAACACATAATTCGTTTTGGGCCTGTTTCGAAGAGGCGGCCGAAGAATCAGAAATTAACCAGAACTCCTCCAAAAACTCAGCCGCGGCCGAATTAGATCACTATCTCAACTCAGCAAGGGCTCGTAGAGATATAAATCCCTATTAGTGGTGGGCCGATAATATGGGTCACTACCCTATTATAGAGTCTATAGAGATATTTAACCACTCCCGCCAGTTCCGTATATAGTGAACGCCTCTGTTCTGAGACTGGTAATATCTATGAAAAAAAGCGCAACAGACTTGACCCACCCCGTGCTGAACAGCTTGTATTTCTTCACCATAGTTTACCTCTTTTGAATTATGAATATTAATTCTTCTACTGATTCATGTTTAATTGAAATAAATGTACGGCATGTCCGGCGTCATTACCCGATACCCGGCCGGATCCTAAAAAAGTGCCTGATCGGCCGGGTACCGGATCCACTCATAAAAATTAGAGATGGGACGGGTGTCCCATCTCTAATTTTTATGAGAGAGAGAAGACATTGTAACTGGCTCGTAAAAAATAACTTAAATATAAATTTAGAGAAAACTAAAATTATGAAATTTAATTGGCAAACAGATAGTTTATCAAGTATTAATATTCATTATAAAGGTTCACCAATCTATGAAACGAGAGAAACTAAATTTTTAGGAATTATCATTGATGACCAACTGAACTGGAAGGCACAGGTCGATAGTGTTTGCAGTAAATTATATAAATTTTAATACGTCTTGTATAAGTTAGCAAATTCGCAAACACTTCGTATAGCATATTTTGGATACGTTGAATCAACACTTAAGTACGGTGTTATGTTTTGGGGAAACTCAGTGGATCGGGAAAAGGTATTCAAAGCTCAAAAAAAGTGCATTCGAGCAATCAAAAATCTACACTGGACAGACAGCTGTAAACCACATTTTAAAGAGCTGCAAATTCTAACTTTTCCCTGTCTTTTTATCTATGAGACGGCTGTGTTTGTCTATAGAAACCTATCATTGTTTGAAAATTTAAATAATAGAAGGTATCCCCTAAGATAAAAAGTTCAACAATCAAAGTCAGTAAAAATGCGAAAAAGTATATTTTGCCTATCCATACCCATCTATAATAAAATACCCAATTATATAAAGAAAATAAAAAATATACAAACCTTCAAAAATCATTAAAAACATTATTAATTAATAAATCTTACTATTCTATTAATGAATATCTTAATGACATAGAAATTACATAATTATAATATTTGTATTTGATTTGACATACCATGTATTATATATTTGACATATTATATATGATAACCCGATGACATCGACATTTTTCATTTGTATTTTTTTATATATATATTTCGTGACATTAGCTTAAGATGCAGTATTTATTTTTGACTCGTGTATTTAACAATAGTACTTAATAATAATTTGAAAAGATGACATTTTTATTTACTTCAGTTTCTTTTTTTTTCTCAATATAGACGTAAAGGCGCCATTACGAAATGTGTTATTTGTCATGGGTATCATTGCACGATGCTTTTCACTTTTGAATATTTAATACTACCTACACATATGATTATGGTATTTTTATAATGTGCAATCAATTTTAAAAGTATTAATTTTGCTTCTATTGACAATATCGTAATGAATATTTGTACACCACACTGTGGTAGAATACACGATACCCAATGTAAATTTTACGAATACCTAACTTACTGTATTCACAAATAAATAAATGAATTTGAAAAAAAACAGCACACCACAGAACCAACAAACAGTTTATAATATACAATTTCAAACTGCAGTGAATTTATATATAAAAAAAAAACGAGAATACAAAATGATGAGAAATTCGCAATAAATATTCAAATTAAAAGGATGCAAATTAATTGAGAATACATTAGCAATAAAAACCACTATGTGGTCTAGACATGGAGCAATAAAATAAGAAATCGTGAAAACGAAAGCAATAAACATTCAAATTAGGCAAAAAAATTAATTAGGAATACATTAACAATAAAAATTCAACATAACTGACATTTTTCATATTTTTTTTGTTTCTGACAACTTTTTATTCGTTTTCAAATAGGCTTTTCAACGCATTGATCCACAGACTAATATGATGCATTAATCCATTTTTAACAAAAACTATTCAACTACGAGAAATCCCTTGTTAAAAATTTGGTGATTCTACAAAAACTACAAATTCTGTTAGTTTTGTAGTTTTTGTAAAAAAAACTCGTCAAATCTGTCACTGTCAGTGTATCAGTTGGCGGCAGCGAGTTGCAAGTTTTGCTATAAATTATGGCGGAAAATAGTGAAAATACTACTGGAATTAAACGTAAAATGCCCAAGATGAAAAAAGAAACTGTGATAAAATTAAAGAAAGCTTAAGAAGGAAAAGGACATATTAACCACAGAAATAACCTAGTCAAGGAAAGAGTGGTTGGACCTGACTGCAGGTTAGCTGAGTAAATATATTAGTGTTTTCTTTTTTTTTATATAAGATAAGAGTGACAAACGAGCACACAGTGCACCTGATGGTAAGTGGTTGCTGCGGCCCATAGACATCTACATCTATCCTCGTTTGCGAATCAAAATGCAGATGCGTTGTCACCCGTGAGGACTAAGATGAAATGCCTCATTTCCAGTAAAAATTGTTGTTTATCGTTGTTACAATAAAAATAAACTAAATTCTTTACTTCAATTAACGTTTTACCACCTAAGGATAGGCGTGGATCACACGAAAGCAACAGGTACAAGAAAACACCTGAAGAAGTTCTAAACCTAGTCCGCAACCAGATTGAGTCATTTAAAACCATGCAATCACATTATTCCCTGAGACAAGACCCTAACGGCCGATATTTGCCTGAAGATTTAACTGTTTTCAAAATGTTTAACATGTTTCTGAATAGCTATCAAATAAGAGTTACTTATATGAGTATTGGTTAGATTTTAATTTAATTTAATTTTTTTCATTTGAATACACACTAAAATTCGGTTTACCAAGAACAGACACCTGTGCAACATGTGATAAATACAGATTAAAGATAAAATTGGCTTCTTTGGATGAGACAAAAACTTTACTGAAGAATGAACATAAACTGCATTTGTTGAAAGTTGAAAAATTCAATGAAATTAGACGCCAAGAAAAACAAAAAGCTCAGGAGGGTAAAACTATGTGTTACAGTCGATTTCATGCAGAATCTGCCATTACCCCATATTCGGACTAGTGATGTGTTTTTTTGTCGCCAGGTGTGGCTCTATGTATCTGGTGTCCACAATGTTGGAACAAGTCAAGTGGTTTTGAATAGCTACTTAGAGACAGAGAGTAAAAAACGCCAGAATGATGTCATAACACTATTATTAAGATATTTTAGTACCCACGGAATTTCTTCTGATAAATTAGTGCTGATAAGTGATGGATGCTCTGGTCAGAACAAGAATTATGTAATGGTGTACTTTCTCTACTGCTTAGTTCATGGGCTGATGTTGTTTAAAAGTATTTGTTCACGCCCTTAGTTGCCCCGACAAAGGTCGACTGGACCAGGGCCCATGAGAGATCCCCTCGACGAGCAACAGAGGGCGGGGCCCAATGGCCTATGGATAATTCTAAATTAATGGCAAATAAGCAAGCACAACTTACCGAGTTCCGGAGGTAGGGTTGACCACAGGGTACCAATCAGGTGATAAGTGAGGTGTATGTAAGTAGTGTGTAGTAGTATGTACATGATGTAACCTGACTTAACCGATGTAGTCGGACCGCAGACCCACAGGCGCTGCCTTTCTTCAAATGTGCGATCCCTCCAGTGGTCGATCACCAATTGAAAACTTCTGCTATTATTTTCACTATATTAGTTTATCAACTTTATTGTACATTTAATTAACTTCAAAGTCAACCAAATCAACGTTCATCGAAATTAAAACAAGTGACACACGACACAAGTAAAGAACAGTCGGTCAAAGTTCAAAGTTCCACGTTCACTTAGCAACAAATTATAATCACGAGAACGAACGCGGTCTCTTCTCGAGTCACAAAGTTCAGCGTTCTTCCGACAAACCAAAAATTTCTTCGTACGATATTAAAATGCCACACAAGCAATCAAAACTCAAAAATCAGCCTCGTTGACACGTAAAACGAACGAAAATAGACAACACACAAAAAAGGCACTTAACGCGACGTTACAATTAAATATTAACTTCCAAAAGCAATTAACCGGCCGACGCGCGACAAAATCTTTTCCATACTTTAAGACAAGCCTCGTTATCACGAAACGTACAAATTAGACAAATCAATTTGAGGCGGTCTACGCGAGACCCAAATCTTCGATAGTAAATTCAAAACGAACGGTCGCAAACAATACTCAAAACGGTTACAACAATAATTATGTGAGACCAGCCTCGTTGTTACGCAACAGGCACGAGATTAGACAACTTCAAATTTAACTATTCAGAGGAGGCTCCACGCGCGACTTTTAACCGACTCATTAACACCGAGCTCGCTAGCAACTAGTCGACAAGGCCGCGGCGTTCAAGACACTGTTGCCGACCCACGCGGCCGAATTCCGGGAAATGGCACACTGCCCCCCCCCCCCCTCCGGCGGCGTTTACGTCACCTCAATACCATCGGATGACGTGCCGAGGCAAGCGTTATTGGATGCAAATTTCAAATGCCCATATTTGGCCTAAACAGTATTCAATATATATTTCCTATCAGAGGACATACTTATCTCCCAAATGACCAGGATTTCAGCTTGATAGGGAATAAAAAGAAAAAAAAAATGACAGCAGAAGCTGAAAGAAGTTAGGATGCTTACAATAAATAGAGATGTTCCTTACGTTTAAGTCAGGTATAACTTTACTGGTCCATGGCACAGGATAAAGATTCGCAATAAAAGAAAACTGCCTAAAGAACTTCAACTTCGACCTACTTATGAATCGAGATTGCCGTTAAATCCTCATAAATATAATGATATACTTAAACTAACGCATTATTTATCAAGTCCTGTAAGTCACAAATTTTATGCAGATCTATTGGGTTCAGTTACTACATTTGAAGCTACAACCTCATTACCTAGTGAAGTAGATAATGAAGACAATAGTAGTGACACGAAGATAATTACCATTTTTTATGATTGACCTAAAAGTATTAACTTTTTAATAAATACCTGGTTGGTGATTTTAAAATGAGTTTTACTATGAAATTTATTGAACATCTGTTCTTTTTGTTACAAAAACAACTAAACTTCATGAAAATCTAGAAGCCTATGTTTTTATTTGACTTGTAGGAAAGGTCTATAAAACATCAGTTTGTTATGAACAAAACAACCAGAAATACATAATTTAATAAAATATTTAATGACTAAATTTAGTATTTAAAAAGATATTAAGTTTTTTTTCCAATACTGAATAATTATGTGTAACACAGTTATGTTGTTTTTGTAAAAATTGCTTCAATTAACAGATATGACACGAATAATGTCATATCTGTTAATTGAACTGGTTGAAATTGGTTTTTCTTCAGTATGTTTTTTCATGTGCTTTTGCAAATTACATTTTGTAATACATCTAAATTCACAGATATAATACGAATAAGGTTTCCTCCAGTATGTTTTTGCAAATTACAATTTGTAATACATTTATATTCGCAGTTAATACACGAAAAAGGTTTATCTCCTGTATGTATTTTCATATGTTTTTGCTAATTACTTTTTGTAATACATCTAAATGAACACATATTACACGAAAAAGGTTTTTCTCCAGTATGTTTTTTCATATGCTTTTGCAAATTACATTTTGTAATACATTTATATTTGCAGATATTACATAAATAAGGTTTTTCTCTGGAATGTTTTTTCATATGCCTTTGCAAATCACCTTTTCTGATACATTTATAATCACAGTTATTACATGAATAAGGTTTTTCTCCGGTATGTATTTTCACATGTGTTTGCAAATTACTTTTGTCAATACATCTAAATTCACAGATATGACAAGAAAAAGGTTTTTCTCCGGTATGTATTTTCATATGCTTTTGCAAACTACCGTTTGTAATACATTTATATTCACAGATATTACATGAAAAAGGTTTTTCTCCAGTATGTATTTTCATATGTGTTCGCAAATTACTTTTTGCTACACATTTATATTCACAGATATTACACGAAATAGGTTTTTCTCCGGTATGTAGTTTCATATGCCTTTGCAAATTACTTTTTGTAATACATTTATATTCACAGATATTACACGAAAAAGGTTTTTCTCTGGTATGTATTTTCATATGCGTTAGCAAATTACTTTTTGTTACACATTTATATTCACAGATATTACAAGAAAAAGGTTTTTCTCCGGTATGTAGTTTAATATGCTTTTGCAAATTACTTTTTGTAATACATTTATATTCACAGATATTACAAGAAAAAGGTTTTTCTCCGGTGTGCTTTTTCACATGCTTTTGGAAATTTCTGCTATTTCTACATATATAATCACAATTATTACAACAGTACACTTGTTTAGCGACGTGCGCTTTAAGATGTGCCAAAATGCAACGTTTTTGAAATGTTTTAAATTCGCAAATATCACAGTTAAATATATCTGTTAGTTGTGGTACTGGAGTTTGTCCAACTTGTGTTCGAACTGCAGTGGTATCTGAGTTGTTTTGCATCTTATGACCGTATGAAATATGTTTGGCGAGAATGTCTTTTGTTAAAAACTTTTGGCTACAAGCATCACATTCAAAAATGTATTTTGTTGATACCCTAGATATTTTTTTCATAAGTATATTTATACTCTTTTGTTTCAAAACTTTCTTTTCCTTAATATTTGCAGGATGCTTTCCTTTTTTATTAATAGGTTGGTTATATTTTTTCACTTTAGGGTTTGATTTAATAGTACGGCTTTTTAAATCGAAGTTTCCTTTACGAACATCGTTTATGTTAGAATCAATAGAATTTGATTTAATCTTTTTCTCAAATGGATTTGAAAAATTATTTGTCGGTGTGATGTATTGCTCTGAAATACACACAAATGAAACATTTTACTTATTGTAAGGCACCTTAAACGGTTTAAAATGTATGGAGTTCATGCCGTCTCAGGCATTCTCTATCAGTTAACTCAGGGAAAATAGAGACATTGTAATAATATTTTTTACATAATTTTACTAAATAATGTTGCTAGTTATAAAGTATTTAAGATAATTACTCTGAATAATGTCTCTCATATGCATTTTTGGACGGAAAGAATGATAGAGAAATGACGACGTTTTTCTGACCATGTTATAATTACATTAATGTAATAAATGCTGTTACGAATCGCACACGGAAAAAGCGTTATACATACATACATTTTGACCAGTATTTTTTGTAGATATTAAGAATATAGTCGAAGTTGGAATGTAAGTGCGGCATAAGAGAATTCATCATCACATTTTGTCGTGTGGTTTTCGTAAGAGGCAGCTATTCGTTTGCACACAGTCCACCTGATGGTAAGTGGATGCTGGGACCAAAGACATCTACATCCCATTAAGAATGTAGACGCGTTGTCACCCATGAGGACTGAGATGGAATGCTTCAGTAGTTGTAAAAAGGGACTCCGGTTCTCTATACACAAACATTCACGCCTGTCACCCTGAGAGGTAGGCAGAGACTATGGACTTCCAATTCGCACGATCCTGACAGACATTTCTCACCTCCCTTACATCCATATATCTACGCATACACGCTCGTCGGTTAAGGGTACTCCTAATCTGGCCCATTTTCAATATATCGCCAATTTGGTCGATAAACCTTCGTCTAGGGCGTCCCTTCCCGACTCTGCCGTTCACTTCTGCAACATAAATTTGCTTTGTCACTCTTTCCTCGTTCATTCTTTCTACATGACCAAACCACCGAAGCATTCCTTTCTTAATCCTGGTCACAACATCATCTTGCAATCCACACTTTTCTCTTATCACACTATTTTTCACCCTGTCATTCAGATTCAGCAATAGCATATTCCTTAATGACCGCATTTTTACAGCATTTATTCTACTCTTCTGCCAGACCCAACTTTCACTACCATACATTAAAGTAGGGACTAACAGAGCATTATGAATTGCCATACGTGCCTTTTATGACAAAATCTGACTTTCATAATAGCATGTAGAGCCCCATTCACTCTATTTCCTGCGTTCACTCGTCGTTCTATATCCTTAACATATCTACCATCCCTACTAAATAAACATCCCAAATATACAAACTCATCCACTTACTCAGTCAACTCCCCTTCTATTCTTATTTCACATAAAATTTTACTTTCTTCTCTTTCGAAAAACACTCTACACTCACAACATAATACACAGCAGCATCAAGCTTCTGTTATTACCTTATTTTAATAATATCACAAAATGTGTATATCTTACCTGTTTCATTATTCCCATTTTCTTCAAATTTGAAATTCTCATTTTCGATATTCTGTTCCTCAACTTTAATGGAGTCAAGGATAAAAATTTCGTCTTTACAATCATTTCCTAGATCACACTCTACTGGCCAGATATCTACATGACAAATTGGTGTGAATCGAATCTCATTCTCATGAGGCTATCATGCTGTATTGGTATTGACTGAAACCAAATTCTTTTTTAAATAAGAGAAAATAACCAGTGTAGCGGTGGCATAGGAGAATTCATGCTACCCCATACCATCTCGCAGATGTCGTAAAAAGGGACAGAGGGAAACTGAAACAGGAGATGGGCAGCAGCATCTTCCTGACAACAACTCCAAATAATGATACAAACCAGTCAAAAAGAGTGTTCCGAATAAACTTAAATAAGAATGTAGATAGATCATCCATCCAGAGAATCAAATCTCAACAATTTTTCAAATCAGATTCAAGAATGCCGTAAATTGACAAAGATCTGTCTTTGTTAATTGAGTGATATTACCTATAGATAATATTTCGTTTATATATAATACATCAGTATAAACAGTTAGATAATTATTTTTGTGAAAGTACTTAACTTACTGGAATTCGTAAATCATTCCATTAACGAAAAAGTAAATTGGATTGAAGGGCAAACTTAACTCTGCAATAGAAAAAGCATTCTCCCATATGGCAAAGGGAAGCAGCATAGAAAGCGCGATACAGAGTGACCGTCAAGGTGTCTGCCAAGTGATGATCAAGGCAAATACTTCATTATAATGGGGACGACCCATCGAGCAGTGAATTTTTATTAATAAGAAGTATAATATTGTAGACTGTGTACGAGGGCTGCACTAAAAGTATCGGGAATGGAATATTTCCACTGTTCCTGTCATATTAAAATCTTTTTAATTGAAAAGTCCTTGGTTTTAAAATCGAATACCATTTATTTATTTAAAAAAAGATTCTCGGTCTTGTCACAAGGTTTTGGTCAAACTTGTATAGTCGTTGAGAAAATGGAATTGACTCAAGAAAATTCAAGAGCGATGATTTATTATGACTTTCGAAGTGGTTTAACACAAAAACAGTGTGTTGACCGGATGATTTCTGCATTTGGTGATGAAGCCCCATCCAAAACCACAATTTATCACTGGTTTGCTGTATTTCAACGTGGACGAGTCAAACTCAGTGATGATCCCCGTCAAGGTCGTCCAAAAACTGCAGTCACCCAAGAAAACGTTTGCTGATTGAGGAAGATCGACATGTGACATACCACGAAATTCAGGCAACTTTAGACATTGGCATGAGTCAAATACAAATAATCTTGCATGAACAATTAGGTGTAAAAAAGTTGTTTTCCCGATGGACACCGCATTCGCTCTGTGAAGAGCAAAAAGCGGCTCGCGTTACTTGGTGCGTCAGAACTCTCGAAAGATTCCACGCAGGATCCTCAAATGCTGTATACAACATTGTATCTTGTGACGAATCCTGGATATAAGCGTACGAACCCGAAATAAAAAACCAGTCACGAGTTTGGGTGTTCGAAAATGAGTTAAAGCCAACAAAAATTGTTCGTTCACGGAGTGTTGCAAATAAATGGTAGCCACGTTTGTCTCCAAAACCGGCCATGTTACGATTATTCCTCTTGAGGGACAAAGAACGGTTAATGCAGAATGGTATGCTAGCAATTGTTTGCCACAGGTTGTTTCTGAACTCCATAAAGAGAACTGCAACCGCCGCATCATGCTCCATCATGACAATACGAGTTCTCACACCGCACACAGAACAAAAGAGTTTTTAGAGCAAGAAAACAGAATTATCAGACCATCCGCCGTACAGCCCCGACCTAAGCCCTAATGATTTCTATACTTTCCCTAAAATAAAGAATAAATTGCGTGGACAGAGATTTTCATCACCTGAAGAAGCTGTGGACGCCTACAAAACGGCCATTTTGGAGACCCCAACTTCCGAATGGAATGGTTGCTTCAGTGATTGGTTCCATCGTATGGAAAAATGTGGGCTTAGCTTTCCATTGACGTCAGTGGAGTTTGGTGTTGATACTTATTTTTATAGAAAGATTACACTATTATAAGCACACACACAACACTCTCAATATACGGAAACGCGTAATTTTTGAGAAAAGAATAATTGAAAATCAATTATTCTTGCAATGTTTATGTCTAATCTGCTAATAAACTGGCGCCATTTTATAATGTCATTGTAGACGTCAATAGGGATGTCGATTCTTTCCGAAAAAGGTCGATTTTTAAATCGATTCAAATCGTAAGCTGATGTATCGGTTCACAAAAAATCGATTTCTAAAATATCTATATTTTTTTAATGTTTCTATTTATAATGTAAATATAAACCCATTTTATGAAAAACAAGAAAGATACCATGATAAATGATCTCTTATTGAAATTTGTTTTATTTAACAGTACCTATTAGAGCAGATAACAAATAAAATAGGTTAGGTTCAACTTATGTCAAAGAACCGAATTGATTGACCCCGACTCCACCTGGTACGAGTCTGTCCTACCCCTAGAGTGGTTTTATAGAGCCGGAGGCGCGTAGGGGGAGCAGCCTCCGCCTGCTGTAAAAAATCGTAGGTATCGGACGAGCCGGAGCGGCTGAGGCTGGTCGCCGAAGGCGACCAACAAGCCGAAGCTGCGGAGGCGAGGAGGGATGCCTGCGATTTGTTACGCTAAGGCGTAGAGGTTGCTCTTCCCGCAGCGCCGGAGACGTAGCAGTCTCAAAATAGATACAGAAATCCTTATGAATCAGTCCCCTTATTTTTTTATGATGAAGGGGATTTTTTTCTCATAATATGGATTTATATTTACATTATAAATGCAAACATGAAAAAAATATCGATATTTTAGAAATCGATTTTTTGGGAATCGATACATCAGCTTACAATTCGAATCTATTTAAAAAATCGATCTTTTTTGGAAAGAATCGACATCCCTATTGACGTCGACAATGACATTACAAAATGGCGCCAGTTTATTAGCAGATTAGACAAACATTGCAAGAATAATTGATTTTCAATTATTCTTTTCTCAAAAATTACGCGTTTCCGTATATTGAGACTTTGTGTGTGTGCTTATAATAGTGTAATCTTTCTGTAAAAATACGTATCAACACCAAACTCCACTGACGTCAATGGAAAGTCGTACCAAAATGTGTCAAATTTCATGGAGAATACTTCGAAAAGCAATAAATACATTTTTAAATAGTAATGTTGTGTCACTTCCTTGATTCCCAAAATTTTCAGTGCCACCCTCGTAGTGGCGGTGTAAGAATATTCACTACCCTATATACCTACCCACGGGACGGGTGTCGTAAGAGGCGACAGAGGGAAACAGAAACAGAAGTTGGGCAAAAGCACCTTTCTGATAACAACTCTGATTAATATAAACTGTGGTTGCCAACTTGCCAAGTGTGGCAAATTTGGCAAAATGCTATGTTCAGCAGTGGAATTTTATAGGTTTTAATGGATGGAATCGATAATACCATGGACCCTCCTGCAAGCAACTGCTCCAGAACTGCATTCGACTCAATGGCATGTTGTTGTAATCTTCTGCAACGAATGAGTCTGGCATGACAGGCGAAACAGACAATTATGGGCCCCTCATTCTCATCCATCTGAAAATATGAAAGTTCGTAATAAATATGGAAAACTACTTAAATATAAAATTTTGTAATTAAATCTATTCGCTACGACAATTCTCTTCATCAACATAATTTTTTTATAATATTGAAGTGACTAACAAACATACGATCCACCTGATGGTAAATGGCAACTGCAGCCCATGTGCCCACAACCAACTTCAAGCAAAGGCTACAGATGCAATGTTACCTCGGAGGAATAAGATGTAATGCTTCACAGCCTGTTATTATACTCTATCTGATATATCTACCAGATATTTTTCAATACCAATATATTTCAATAATTGAGTTTTGTTTATATTGCCTCTTCTCCCAACAACAATTATTAATGTGCTATTAGGGCAAAATTTACTAGCTAAAACTTTATTCATTATATGACTAAAGAATGCTCCAGGCACACAATAATTACTGATCAGATGTCCTTCTAAACAGTTATTTAACATCATGCCCAAATTTTATGCCTATGTCATCACAATACATAATAACTTTTTTTTTATATTTACATTACTTTTTAAGTTTATATCCTTTGTCATGGCACTGTCATAGAGTGTAGGTGAAAATAATGAGTTTACAATATTATTTACACATTATCCCCGATGAACCTGGTATGGAGCGCTGATACTCTGATGTTTTATTAAGGAGTCAAAGCACTCCTCATTATATTAACATGACTTTACCAGATCATTCATGGGCCAATATGTGTTCTTTTAACTCATCCTATCCATCTAACGCGTGTTGCAAACAAAGTCTCAGCGTATCTTGTAGTACGTAGTACATATTACTTCAATAATAATACTGATTTTAGTGCGATCCAGGATACCAAGCTAATGTTATTTTTCAGATTCTGGTTGTATTTGTCAGTATATTTAACGCTGCGCCTTAGCATTTTCGCATTTTATATTATGCGTTATAACGTATTTCTCCAGCAATAACAACAAATCACCGCAATTTCTTTTAGCAATATTAAGAAATATTAAAAAACTTACAAAACTGTTTATCAATGTCTTGTACAAATTTTGGAGGCCAGTTTTCTTTAGTACAATCATGCGTACATTACCGCTTAAACAAATTCTACAAACTTCACTAAATGCCATTCCTGTTTTATATAGCTTTATTAAAATTACAAACTATAAAAATCACAGAATTTCGAAACACATTGATTAATTTGATTAAAATTCTTCTTTCTTAATAACTGGCTTTACGGCTCTGGGTTCTAGTTCTAGCCCTTCTGAGCCTGAAGTTACAATGTATAATTATCCTTCATAGTACACTGCTTCACAATATGTTGATGCGTCACATTCATGAGTTATAGATAAAGATGGAGATCACACTCCGAATACCTACTTGAAGCTTAACCTATGTATTACTATCTCGCTCTCTGTGGGCAGACCCTCTCTTTCTAAGTAGGTAACCTTTATTTTATTTTTCCCAGGATATCGCTATAAATAGTTGCACTACATTAAGGCCCGCCATATACACACGGAATTCCGTTTCGGAATTTCAAACGGTCGGCCACACACAAACGGAATCCCGTTTTGCCCGCAAAATATCGAACGGAAAACTACCGTATGTGTGTGGCGGGTCATAGATTTTATATGGACTTGCTGCGTTCGGGATTCCGAATCGGAATATCGAAACGGAATCTCGAAACGGAATTCTGTATGTATGTGGCCGGCCTTAAGTGGTTTATTTATAAATATCTACATCTCTGTTTACTACTAAGACCTAGCCTATATAGATTATATATTTTTGTACAATTTTTTTGGGAAATTGGTTTTATGAAGAAAGGTTTTCGTTTTCATAGGCAGAACCGGTATCAAAAATATGACCACGTATTTCTGTTACAACCCATATAATGCCGAACCTATTTAGAAAATGTGGAATATAAATATATCAGAGAATATTTTATTACTACCATATCGATAATGTATTTTCTGGTTATTGTATACAATATCTAAACGGTACCAACGAAATATAAAATTAAAATTTATTATAACACCTCGGGTGATCAATGAATTGGGCAAAATATACCTGATTTATTGTTCATACAGACTAAATCTATTTCTAGACAATTATTTAGAAAAAATATCACGAGGATTAAAGCAGCGTAGCGGAGCTCCTGCCTTAGCCTTCTGACCTAACCTATCCGAGTCAGGCTGCTCTAAGCTGAAATGTGTATAATACTATATTCCACACATCCTGTTCATTTTAAGAATTATCTACAATTCCTAGGAATTCTATATAATAACGGATTTCATAGATTTCTAATAACATATGTACTATAATAGGAACGATAATATATTATTATTTTGAGTTGTTATCAGAAAGATGCCGCTGCCTATCTCCTGTTTCATTTTCCCTCTGACACCTCTTACAATACCCTCGGAACGATATGGAGGGTAGTGGATATTTTCACACCGTCACTACATGGTTTGTTAAAAACCTTAAACAAAAATAAAAACACTTTCCATATTAAAATTATTTATTGAAATTTTTCACACCATGTGGATTACTCTGTGGCTTTTTGAAGTTCTTACAGATATCAGCAAAGCGCCTTTGAATAATATTTTCAATTTCTGACTGACCCGTATACTTTTTAATAGTTGCCATTAAAGAAGACCTATCCTGAATTTTTTTAGTTTGGCGCGCCACTTTTTGCTTAAGAATCTTAGTTTTCGTCTCAAGTATTTCTTCTTTAGAACACTTTATTTTCACTTGCACGCCCCTATCAATCTGCGCGGGATCGTCGTATTCACTGCTGACCTAAGAAAACCTGCTGCTGACCTAAATTCCAGAGATTAGAGAACTCAAACAAAAAAAAAGAAACAAATAACTCTTCTACGTCATAATGTCAGTACAAATTTACATCACTTAATCATCATCATCATCATCATTACAGCCCTTCACAAGTCCACTGCTGACGGCCTCCCCCAAGGAATGCCACAAAGCACGGTCCTGAGCCATCTGCATCCATCGACTTCCTGCATATCTTACCAGGTCGTCACTCCATCTAGTGGGGAGACGCCCAACACTTCGCCTGCCGGTACGAGGCTGCCACTCGAGAACCTTTCTTCCCCATCGGTTGTCGGTTCTTCGAGCTATATGGCCGGCCCATTGGCACTTCAGCTTACTATTCCGGTCACTCTGGTTCTACTGCGGATATCCTTATTTCTGAGTTTATCACGCAGAGAAACTTCGAGCATAGCCCTCTCCATAGCTCGCTGAGCAACCTTGAGCTTCCTCATCCGGCCAGCAGTGAAGGACCATGTCTCAGTTCCGTATGTCATCACTGGCAACACGCACTGGTTGTACAGTCTCGTTTTCAAGTTTTGAGGTATACCTGACGAGAAGATGTGCCGTAATTTCCCGAACGCTGCCCAACCGAGTTGAATCCGTCGATTTACCTCTCGGTCGAAGTTGGACTTACCTAGTCGGACTATTTGTCCCAGGTAAACATACTCGTCAACTACTTCGAGCTTAATGCTGCCAACAACTACCGGCATAGGTGTGACATGGACATTAAACATGATCTTTGTTTTGTCCATGTTCATCTTAAGACCTATCCGTTGGGAAGCACTATTGAGGTCATTGAGCATAGTGCTTAGTTCCT